GCCGGTATTACTCCTCGAAGCTCGTAACATGTTCTTTACTTAGGCTCACCCCAGGATCGTAACTCGAGGCTTCGTACCATGTTACGAAATCATCAAAACTACTTTGTAAGTGCTCAAATGTGTGCTAAATTCGAAATGAGCTCCAAAACTACTTTTGAAACACGTAAAACTCCATAAAGTGAGCCAAGGTCAGCAAAGGTCAACTTGACCTGACCTCTAGGTGACCTTGACACTCACTGCAATGCATGGGACCAACATCATTTCACATGTTTGAATGTTTACAACTACAAAAATACTGGAAACACGCGGTTACTGTGAGCCGACAAACGCCGAATCGCGACTCCGACCAAACATGGTCTCAAGAAACAGGTCACACATCAAAGGCCATTTGGGTCAGGGTCATGACCCCTCCCCCCTTGGCTGGGGCATACGTAGAAAACTAATAGGTCCGGCGCGGGTTGAGTTAGATTGTGCGCTAAGCAGTTATGCTCTATTTGATTTATTGCTAAGATCAGACGGTTTTTCCATTTCAGTACCTGCCCGAGTCTCCGGGGGTCGCACTCTGAGTTGACGCATCTTGACGCCGCAGAAGGTGCCGGAGGGGAAACAGCGTACACTCCAACACCTGAGCGCAGCGGCACGGAAACGCCCAGTGCTGTGGCACCAACAGGGGTGTCTTCGACGCTGGATCAGCTGAACGCAAGGGAAGAAATAGCAAAGAAAAGTAAACACGCGGGTTTTTTTCACTGAACTAGACCAGATGCTGGAACGCATGGGAGAGCGCAAAGCGTGTGAGTTCAAAGCTAGAGTGTACGCGGAGGCCGTGAAGACTGCTTTCAATTTGTAGCTTCTAGCTGAGTGGGCCATACCGAAAGCTACATGTTTTGTCGTGCACTGTTTCAATTCTGTTCAGCCTGGAAAGTTGACCCATGATGTATTGTGCTTTGTGAAGTTCATATACCTACCTAAGTTTATAGCTTGCGGGAATACGCGAGATTGTACATTGTATTGTATTTTATTATATATTTTCATCAACCTCTTCCGTGCGAACACAGTTTTTTTCGGAGGTTCGAGTCATACACAGCTAAGAGAACTTAAAACTATACATGGAAACAATGATGGCACATACAGGCTCCCACCCAATCAGAACTTTCAGGTGATTAATTTTGACCACTTCTATAAATCATCCTCAGACGGCTTTTGAACTGCCCGATCGACGAGCTCTGCAACACAATCTTTGGCAGTGAGTTCCAAGAGGTAGCGGTGCGGTACGAGAAAGTACTCTGGGTGGCGACGAGTCTCACTCTAGGCAGGTCAAATTGCTCAGACCGGGCGAGGCGGGTGTCACGGGAGGCTGTGTCGCGTCTCGGAGTAAATAACCGGCGCATCGCAATCGGGGTATCCGGATCATGAAGCGCACGATATACACGAATACAGTCCCGTTCTGAAATCACATCGTCAAAGTTCACCCAGCCAAGAGACCTGAGCACGGGAGACATGTGCTCGGCTCGTCGTGCGCCAGTGACCACACGGGCTGCGAAATGCAGCAGCTTTTGTATGCGCTTCAACTGGCTGCTGCATGCACTAGCCCAAACTGGCAAACAGTACAGGATGTTCCCCTTTCGCATTTCGTTGACCGTGAGACAAAAGAGAATCGGCCCGATAATCAATTCCTGAGGGACGCCACCGGGAGCACAGTGGTGCCGCCGCGAACCACCTGTCTCCGATCACTCAGGTAGCTGGCAAACCAATCAGACGAGATGCCGTACCATCCCATCTTACTGAGAAGGACGCCGTGGTCGACGCTGTCAAATGCCTTACTAATATCCAGGCGTGTTATCTATGCTACGTGACCTGAGTCGATCTTCTTCGAGATCCTCTCGACAGCGTCGACCAGGGCGTCCTCTACGCTGTGTCTGCGTCGGTAAGCATATTGTGTGTCACTCAGTATGCCGTTATCGCATAGTTAAGCCGATAGCTGGTCGCACACCACTCGCTCACAAATCTTTGACAGTACCGACAACAATAAAATTGGTCGATAATTTTTGGCAGTGTTGACATCGCCGGACTTGTGAATCGGTACAGCAAGCGCAACTTTCCATTTCAACGGGAACACGCCGGTCCTTATCGTTGCGTTAATCAGGTGGAGAAGCATCGGACCAACCACAGGGAAACATTTCCGCACTGCATGCATAGGCACACGGTAGAGTCCTACCGCTCTGGAGCCACTCATACCCCTAGCTGATAGCTAATGACAGCTCCGGTAGTGTGACGGGCTTTAGCTTGAAAGCGGACGAGCACACGGTAACGGGACGCGGCGCACTCTGTTCTACGGCAACACGATCAACATCGGCAGGCAGCTCATCAGCGACACGAGCCCCGATCGAGGAAAAGTACTCGTTAAACGTGTCTGCGTGTTCTGGTCCCATCGCCAATGGGCGGGCCTCCACCGCACATCGCACCCGATCGAATGGCGAATTGCTTCAGCCGCCGCCAAAAGCCGCAATGGTCCTGGTGAGCCAGCTGATCGCAGAGAAACTCCCTGCGTGCGCCGGCAAGCTTGCTCTTCACCTGGTTCCGGAGGCGGTGCTAGATGGCGCGGTCTTCTTCCGTCCGGTAGGAACCTACTGCAGCCAGTCCGTGTGAGCGGCGTCCCACTCGGCCATCAGCGCCTGGAGCTCGGGGTTTTCCTTAAGCCATGGACACCCAAGCGGTGCCGATCTCGTCCGAAAGGTCGGGCAGCGACGGTCCATGACGGCGTCCCAGATGGTCATGAACTCGTCCAGTTTGGCGTCGACGCCGACAGCTCGAAACATATCACGTCTTCGACGTTGGAGATAGCCTGAGTAATGTTGAAATGAATGTTAAATATCAATTGTGCTAATGCACATATTGTAACCGTGCATTGTCTTGTGTAGCCCTCCCCGACAGAGGAGGCAGTGGTGCCGCCTTCTTTTGTAGGTAGGGGGCTCTGGCGCTGTAGCTCAACGGGGTGAAATGGCGGGATGGTTGGGCACTGCCCTCTGTCGGAAGTAAAAAAGCAAGCCGATAGGTTTAGCGATGGTCCAAGCACTAAGGTATCCCAGTAAACATGCCGACGTCGGTCCGACGTCGGGATGACGTGGGCATCTCTGCATCGGCATGCCGACGTTGGCCCGACGTCGGTCCAACCTCGGCACGACGTCGGCTGGATGTCGGGTATGCCCGCATGTACCGACGTCCAGCCGAGGTCCAGCCGACGTCGGGCCGACGTCGGACCGAGATCAATTGCCGAGGTCCAGCCGACGTCGAACCGACATCTGACGCTGTTTTGACCGTTAAAATAATATAAAAAGCATGTTTCATGCTTCATAAAGAGCTTCTGTATTCAAAATATCCTCAGGAAACTCAAATCTTCCTCCACGCCGCAACCCCCTGATCCTCCGGACTGGACGGGAAACTGTATCCCATTTGGGATTGCCCGTAAGCCGAGCTCGCCCGTAGCCGGGTGCGGTGAGTGCTTGGGGGCTGCTCGGCTCGGCCTATCCTTTGGTCAGGCTCAGCCCCGGCAACTCACCAGGGCCGGGCCCAGTTCATACCTATAGAAAGGCCAGTCGGCAAGTGTCACTTTGCCAAAGTGCCACTTATCAAAGGGACACTTTGGGAAACGTTTGTGCAGGTGTGTAAGGGTGGCTATATGAATCCATTTGTGGGGTCGCCCTTTCCAATAAGTGTCACGTAACAGCAATGGGTTGGGACTCTATATGAACTGGACCCAGGGTGCTCGCCAAGAAGACCAATGTCTCCATCCTATCATCCTTCCGGCTCTGAAATGGTCTTGTCAGACCGAAAGGGCATAACCCAACAAAACAAACTAAATTCGCTATCTCGCTGCGTGGTGTAGTGGTTAGCGCACTAACCTCGCGTTCAAATGACACGGGGTTCGAATCCCATCGCCGGATGATGCTTTTGGCGCGTTGTCCCAGTAAACATGCCGACGTCGGCGACTGGGGGGCTCGAATCCCGCCGCCGGTTCATGTTTTTGGCGCGTTGTCCCAGTACACATGCCGACGTCGGCCCCGTCGGTCCAACTACAAACGATCTCGTCAACCTCGGCAGACGACCTCGGCCCGACGTCGGCTCGACGTCGACTGGACTTCGGATGGACGTCGGTACATGCGGGCGTACCCGACGTCCAGGCGATGTCGGGCCGAGGTTGAACCGACTTCGGGCCGACGTCGGGCCGAGCCTCGGCCCGACGTCGGCATGTTTACTGTGATCTTTATATCATGATTAATGTTTCCCGGTCGCTAACGTATGGGGAAGGGTCCGTTGTCCCCCCCCCCCCGGCCTCTTGCCGTTTGACCACTGATCAAGCTTGAGTGGAATTGCCTGGGACCGTCCATGACATTCCATGACATCTTTTCTGCGTATATTGTGAAAAGTTCAGACCCAGGTCAAGTTCAGGTCAACCATTGTTAAAAGTAACAGTTTGTATAAAATGTATATCGGAATTTCGATATGTGACCTAAGGTCAGGTCAATTTTGCGATGCCTCTATTATACGACATGACCTCTTTCGACCAATTTCGTGACCTGAGGGCGCTAACCTGACCGTGACCCGAGGTCAACACCCCACCCAAACAAAAAGTAGGTATATCATTCGACGCGCCTGACCGAGGCGAACACGTTGCTGCCAAAATCGCGGCTCTGCGGCCGGTTTTTGCGAAGTTATTTACCAAAAACGAAACCGTACCTTGGGGCATTTGACCTGACCTCAGAGGTCACCGGTTGATCTTGGACCTTAAAATCAGGTATCAATCTCTGCGCCTTGTAACGGCGCACACGCTCGTTTTTTCCGCGACGCGCTTATAGCTCCACCAGGGGCGAAACGGCGAGGGGGTCGTATCCCCCCCTCGGCCGGCGCGTATGTAGAAAACCAATAGGTCCGGCGAGGGTGCACCTATACGTCACCAAATGGAAGGCGCGATGCTTACCTATATAGGTACGGAAAGCAATGCAGAAAATAATCGAGTTATTTTGTTATGAACAAGTACCCAAAAGTCTAAAACATCCAATGTCATTTACAAGAAATGGCAATGATTCGGTATATCTTTTACAAATATAATCAATGACAGACAATGTCACTATTCCGCTAAAGACACATTTTTACGGCAAGCGAGTAATGATGAACGTTTTGATGATGAACATCGCACAAATCACCAGCGGGTATTCCACGCTTAAAATGCTATCACTTGCATGGCAAATAAGTGGTGCTGTCCATGTAAAATATAGACGGCGCACAAGCTATACACAGGTTTCAACTAACCATGTGTGAGGTAATATAGATACACAAGCGTCGATCAGTCGCTCCGAATGCCCTTCGTTCCCGGAACATAACTTGCATGAAACGTTAACCCTAAATACCCATTTCAGTCGGCACACATCCTTTGAAGAATGTGCACATAACCGACTATGATCAGATGCATCTACATATGAGAACAATGAGCCCAAATCACACAACCATTTCCCACCCCATGACAAAATCACCAGGACACATCAATCTGACACGATGATACAACAGACTAGCGCTCGACTGAGGATCACGTGACCATTGGCACCGGCCGTGCACGGCGCTACCGCTGGTCGAGCTGCAGTCACGTGACGGGGGGCCGACGGCGGCCGCCCTGAGTGCTTGGTTTACCCGAAGGCGGGCACTGGCGGGTAGGGGAAGGGGCCGCCCTCGGAGACACCGCCCAGCATGCTGAAGTAGGTGCCGCCGAACAGACTGGGGTAGGCTCCGAACAGCCGCTGGTAGCCGCCGCCACCTATACCGCCGCCGACACCGGAGCCAGGCAGGCCGAGACTGCAGACAGGAGGGAGCGGGAGGTGTGAGACAGACGTACAAAATGGGTGCTTCAGAGTCTATAATAATAACGAGATAAAGCGCAACGTGCATTCATCATCTCCAATTCATATGAATGGTGAGTTTATACTGTTAGGTGATAAATAATCTTATTTATCACCGGGATACCGGTGTATGTACATATTTGGAAAGTACTTAACGCAAAATGCACCTTCCTCTCGATTACTCACGGGAAATAGCGCGGATTCCTGATTTTGACGGCCGTCGGAGTGTGTGCGCCGGTCAGCGGTCGACCTGCGGCAATCAGCTGGGCGTGTCGCGCCTCCAGCAGGGCGTCCTCGGCAGTCGGCTCCACCTCCTCCACCTCATTTTCGGAGGGATCCACAGCTTCCAGCAGCTCGATCACAGCGGGACCCTCCGCGGCGACATCGGCTTCAGACGGGCGCTCCGTGTCCTCTCCTAATGTGATGGCTGTCTCGGGGATGCCGTCACCGAGCGCAACCAACTCCTCGGCTGGACTGGGGACCCTCTCAGACGGCCGACCGGCCGAGGGCGCCGCCAGCACGAGCGTCGTCAACAGCAGTAAAAGAACACCCTGAAAACAGACGGGACCATCAGCGGGTGCAGCAGGAGGACACTGAGCAGAGGTCATGAGGAGGAGAGACTAAGCACCCCGTGGGAAAGGGCCGCCAATATACGAGACCGTCAGCAACGGTAAAATAGTGAGAAGAGGATTATTTGATAGGTAAAATTTGAGCGAGGTATATATGCTGCCTTCTTGCTGCTCGTCTCTCGCCCATTGTTTGGGGTGGCTATTTGACAATATAGAAATGCTGGTCAGACCGTCAGTGGGTTGGTCTAGGCCAAAAAAATTCGTCGCGATACGTCTCTTGTGCCGATCGAGGATCCAATAGCTTTCTCGCTGTGCTGTTTACAGCAAATCCCGCCCAGCTTGACGACCGGCCAAATCTCAGGGAGACTTACCATGGTCCTGTGACCGTACCCGACTGTCCTCGGAAGCGGCCCAGTCACCTCTTCGGCACGGGCGCTTACCGAACCGTCCCTGAAACGGCGCTCAAACCGTGGCTCACGTGAGCGTGGCAGCACCTCCTTTCGGGAAGCTGATCCTAGCCGACTATTGCATTGCCTAAAACTTATCTATAAGTCCAATAAGAGTGTATAGTTAATAACTATATAGTGCATAATATCTTAGGTGCAATGAATGGAGCACGATTATGCACATAAATACTACATATACGTCAAAAAGTCACTGTAAGACCCTAATATCAACTAACGGAGATCCAATTCACTTATAGCCTCGTAGAGCTGTCTTTTGCTATGATTCACAACAAATATTGTAAGTCACCAACTGAGCCCACGTGAGCCCACAGCCCGTATAGCGTGCCCTGCCTACCCGCCGCGCCGACCCGGCACTCACCATCGTAGCTACAACTGCAGACCGTCTGCCCGATCACTGAGTGCTCCGTGCCGCCGCCAGGGCTTTTATGGAACCGCCGTCAGCGTGCAGGCCGCCGACGCCGCCGAGTATTCTCCGCCGCATATAGGTACCGTTGCACTGTTGCACTTGACCATGAACGCTCGGAGCGGGCTTCCGGGACGCTCCGGGGGGGGGGGGGGATCAGCGGGGGGGGGGGGGGCACGTCGCACGGATGACGAAGATGACGGTACTTTCCACGGGATGGGCGCAGTTGACGGCCTTCTGGAGAGGCGTGATGACGTGTGAGAGACCAGAATGGCCCATGAGTGTAGAGGCCCAGTCTTACCTCCCGGTTCGCTGCTGTGTATTCTTGCAGACAACAATTATGAATATAATGTGTTACATATTTTCTGTGATCAGTCACGCAGGAACTATTTCTGGGAGGGGGGGGGGGACTCATCCGACATTCATAGGTGTCGCTTCATGACATAAGACAACCTAGAATAGGGTAATCGGTTCTTATTAGCCGTTTTCACGACGGGCATCTGGTACAAATTTGGTGCGGATTTGGTGCAGATTCGGTCAAACTAGGTTCAGTGTGTTCCGTAAAAGTTATCAGATTGGGTTGCACAGATGCTAATATACCTTATTATCACACATTTGTTTTCGATTAAAGCACTGAAATAAATTTAAGATACGAAGACATTTATTGTAAAACACTCGGTGCAGATTTTGTCAAATTTGGTGCATTCGCCAGACAGCCCGTCGTGAAAACGGCTAGGTAGTAGGTAGGTATACCTAAGCGATCGTAGTCCCGATTGCGGACCCCACCCTTTAGAGTGACTATGCCTGGAATAGACATTCAAAGCAGTTATTGATCTTTTATCAGTTAATAAATTTATCGGACGCATTTAAACCAAATAAGACTCATCATTCCATTCCGACGCCCATAGGCAATTTTGATAAGCCCGTAAAGAAAAAGTAGTGATTTTTTTCACAAGTAGACCGTGTCAAAAGTGCTGGTAAATATTTGCCGACATAGGCGGCGGAACGGGGAGGGCACCGGGGCACTGTGCCCCTCTTTGATTTTGGCATTTTAACATTAGTCCTATGGGCGTTGCATGGAAAGAATGGGACTAAAAGTCGGCAGTCCCCCCCTTAATTTAGGGTGTTCCGCCGCTACTGTTTGCCGACATTCAAACTGATGATTGATTGTTGTTGCATTTATACGTGCTCGCAGTACATTTTGAAAAGTCGTCTATTGTACTGGCTCATCGAGTTCACCATGGCACGCTTCTGTCGTACGCTTCTGTCGGAACCACAAATCATTACGCCCAGAAGGGTCGCAAATACGTAGACGTCAAACTACAATCTACATTATAAACCCATGACGGGGATATCATCCGCTTTGCACTATGCAATAATGCATGCACATGAATGCATTGTGGGTACCTTTTATTGGCTGAATAAATTGAATGCCAATAAGTTCGCACTTTCTTTTGCGTTCGTGGTATTTTTGCATGCACATGTTCTACTTCTAACGTTTTCGGCTGCGTATCGTACCCCCATACTTTAACCCTATTAGTGGCAGGGGGGTTGTTTTCATCCACCCCTCAGGTTTTTCGGGAATATCTCCGTAACCGCTGAAGCTACGATGCTGAAATTTTCTGACTTTTCCCAAAACTAAATTGGGCACATTCCCTGAAAATTTCAAGTTCATAACTTTACCAGGGGCGGCTCCAGAGCACTGGGAATTGGGGGATCCTATTCGTGAAGCGAGTCATTTGGGCGAAGATCACGATGCTGATGTATTATAACTGTATGCACCAGTTTTACGAACAGTGAATGAAAGGTATCATGTGATAACATACACAAAGTTATTGTGCATCCTCTTTTGACACGTTTTTGCTATAATAGGCGGATCCAGGCGTCCAAAAAGGGGGGTTATGTTTTACCTCCCAACATAGGTGCCCTGACACCGCCTATGCATGACCAATACAATTGTAGTCGTTCTCTCATAAGAAAATTGTAACATAACAAGACCATTACCACCCTTTTTAGAAACAGTACCAACAAAAACCTTATTTACTATATTTTTTGTGTACCCCCAATCTCAATGATCTGTATCCGCCTATGATTTTTGAAAATGCATATTTTTAGGATCCATGTGAATTCGTGTTTCATTCTCTATCGATCGGCAAGCGTTGCGTTAAGATTGGTTCAGAAACCTGGCCGTCATAAACAGTCTAAAATGTATCTGCAATTTGCCCGTTTTTACCCCCCTCTACCCCCCTATTGACATTTTTTAATTTTTATTTTTTAGAAATGTAGATCACGTTGAGCGAAATCGAATGCCGTTTGAATTTTGAAAATCGGCCCGTTAGATCTCGAGATATCAAGGGGGGGTCGTAAACAGCCCCCCCCCCCCTCCCACTAATAGGGGTAGCCAGGAGCCTGCCACTGATAGGGTTAATCAAATTATGCCGTCAATAATAGAAGACTAGTCTTTAAATCACTATGATAATTGGTTTCAACATATTTCATAGCAATAAATTCGAATAAATGCCTGAAAAGAGTCAATGAGCCAATACTTTATTTACACTGCCTAACGCCTGCAAACAACATGGGTCGTAAAAAGGAGCAGTTTCCCTATGTGCGCTTTTGCAAGGGGTTGCAAAATCTCAAACTGACGTTATGGTGAATCGTACGAGCAAACTAAGAGTAAAAGTGTGTACGCAAATAAGCAAATCTTCAAACAGTACTGAAAGACTTTCAAAGTGCAAGCGAACAGACAGGCTGCGCTACAGCTGCCTTCAAGTTTAGGAGGTCGTTAATCCGATCATTTAATCTACCCTCGAATCAAGTTTTCTCGCCGGTTTTCACCGATAAGAAAAAAAAACGAGAAAGAAAAAAAGTGAGAAGTTATACCGTCCCAGCTGAGTCAAAGAATCACGTTTTCGGTAGCTTGGGACAAAGATTAGATTATGTAAATTACATATTCGACCAGCTGGACAGTTGTCTGGACAGTCCCATCCTGAAGCTTGCTAAATGCTAAAACTTCTCTATCCAGGCTGACGGTCACTCGACCCAGACAAACACAGAGTAAGGTTATAATAGGAGAGCAGAATGCCCACGCTAGCTCCCGAAGGTCCCATGCCGACCTCTGAAGGCCCCACGCGGGTCTCGGATGGCCCTAAGGCGACCTTCGGGCTCTAAGGGCACCGCGTCGATGTCTGAAAGTCCCACAGGTCCCCGAGGGTCATTTGTAGGTCACTTAGTGCCCAAGAGACTTAGGCCCCTGGGCCCTGAAGACCCCAAGCTAACCTCAGTCCTCAAGGAACCCTAAGCTATCTACATATGTTCTGAGAACCCTGGGTCCGAGTGCGCACGCTTGTCTCGGTTGCCGGCTGCCCAATGCTGCCCCCTACACCTCCGACTGAGCCTACGCTGGATGATATGATTATGACTTGAAAACATCTGTGGGATTACTTTTGTTGTAGACGTCGACTACTTCTGTGGGCAGGGGCGGATCCAGCATTTTGCCAAGGGAGGGGCTATTCCGAATCGGGGGCCCCCCATCGATGGGGGCCCTACCTACCCCCAAAAGTTTAAGCCTGGATTTCGTCCACTTTATTTTTGGGGGCCCCCTATCATGCTTTTTTTGCAAAAAAAAAAAAAGAAAATGAGAAAGTCGCCCGGGGGGCGCTATAGTCCCTATCGCCCCCCCTGGATCCGCCCCTGCTAGGAGGCCTTGTATGTGAACTAGGAAGCCCTCTGTGATAGCTAGGAGGCCCTCTGTGCAGATGCGAGCGCAGGCCCTCAGTACAGACTTGGAGACCCTTTGTGTGCAATGTCCCAAAATTTGTCTATTTGGGTGGGAAACGACATCCAAATGAAATTCATTTTCCACTCTCACCACCATTTTTAAGAACAATTTTCCACTCCCAAGTCCCAACCAAGAAAACATAGATTTTTTACCTATAGAAAGACAGTTGTGTGGATGCCCAGTTAGCATCAAACATTCTACACCCTAAAATAAAATGCATGCTTTTTGTCATTTCTCACTCCTTTTTGATCTTATCGAATCAGCTGCCCTCTTTTTGGTGGGTAATTTCCCCCTCTGACACCCAAGACAAAACTCAATTTTGGGACACTGT